TGCTAAGATGACAATTAATTAACATAGTGACATTAGTTATAGTAGAATTTATTTTCTTTAATATTCTTCCTTAAATATTAATTAATTCCTATTCATATTTCATATTAATATTTTGAACATTACTTAAATGATCAACTAGTTTTGTTTCATATATTAATTATTACTAGAATCGGTCAATGAATACGCTTGTTAATCATTCGATCGTTTCACGGTAGTAAACTTGGGTTATTAATGGATGCGGCATCTCATGGTAAATAACCTAAGAGGAATTAATTATATTGATTAAACCAATAAACTGCTTGTGTTGAGGTTATCAATCTTAATTGATTTCATCGGATGACAAATGAATAAATTAGATAGAATAATTGGACCTAAGATTCTCGTTGTGACAGTCGAGAATATACTCACCTTGGGTTACAAGTTATCGTTCTTAATTTATTTAAATAAATCGACCGATTGCTACTATTAAGATCAACATATGGCGCTTGTTCTATATTGATAAATCAATAGTAAGGGTTATTAATGAACACGTCTCGTTATTAATAGCTATTTCAGATGAATTAGAATTTCTCCGCAATTAAGTATTTAAGAGGAATAATTAAAGTAGTAACAATGATCACCGAGCATTTCACTAAGTGGAAATTAGCAAAACCTAGACTAATTACCTTTGATATTTTATTTCAAACATTTAAGTACTAGCTTTCAAGCCCGTGCGATGCACGGGTAGTACATAATTTAGCTAACTATATATTTGATATTTTCGAAATCATATATAATTAATAAAAGTAATTCAAATTTATATGAAAAATATTTAAATTGGACTTCTACATAAGCATCTCAACTAAACATAATGGTTATGAACCCGATTTTAAAGAATTCATACAAAAGTTTCTTAATTAATTTCACATCCTCTATATTACTTCATTAAGCATCTAAAAAACTATTTTTAAATATTTCTCATTCAACATGTGGTATGAAATAAGTATTTGTAAATTTATTAGTGAGCTCTTATAAATAAAGTCTATGTGCACGGATGACTATTTATTGTTGTGGTTGCAATAATTGCTTATTTTAATAGCAATCCATATTACTACAGAGTAAGTAGTAGATTCTGAAAAAGTTATTAAATAAGGTGGATTTTATCATACGCGACGGTCTTTTGTTTCCATATCAATATGTAATAAAAAATAGAATGTAATAAAAAAAAGGTATAAATAGTAATTAAATAATTGTTATATATAATGACATGACAGGATTATGTGGCACGCCAGATGCTCTTAAAATTCCTCTTTTATATATAATTTAATAAATATCCATATTAATACGGAGTAAGTAGTAGATTCTGAAAAAGTTACCAAATAAGGTGGATTCTATCATACGATCTTTTGTTTCCATATCAATATGCAATAAAAATAGAATGTAATAAAAACAATAAAATGTATAAATAGTAATTAAATAATTGTAATATATGATGACATGGCAGGATTATGTGGCGCACCATTTGCTCTTAAAAAGTTCCTCTTATATATATATATATTGATTTAATAAATATCCATATTAATACAGAGTAAGTAGTAGATTCTGAAAAAGTTACCAAATAAGGTGGATTCTATCATACGATCTTTTGTTTCCATATCAATATGGAATAACAATAGAATGTAATAAAAACAATAAAATGTATAAATAGTAAATAAATAATTGTAATATATGATGACATGGCAGGATTATGTGGCGCGTCGTATGCTCTCAAAAAGTTCCTCTTATATATATATATATATATATATATATTGATTTAATAAATATCCATATTAATACGGAGTAAGTAGTAGATTCTGAAAAAGTTACTAAATAAGGTGGATTCTATCATACGATCTTTTGTTTCCATATCAATATGCAATAAAAATAGAATGTAATAAAAACAATAAAATGTATAAATAGTAATTAAATAATTGTAATATATGATGACATGGCAGGATTATGTGGCGCGCCGTATGCTCTTAAAAAGTTCCTCTTTTATATATATATATATTGATTTTATTTGCTTTCTCAATTATCAAAATATCCAGCCCCCCCTTCCGTTTGCTTTTATTTATTACGCTTATACATACGCGAAAAGCTCCTTTCCCTGTGGATATGAACCCTACTACGTTATACTACGGTATTAGCTCTTAGTAGTGAATTTAATGTGAGACACACTACGACAAAGAGGTCGTCCCAAACCGAACTAAACCGAACCGAAACCAGACCGTATGCAATTTGGTTTGAGTTTGGTACTATTTCATCCAAACCGTATCAAACCGAACCGAACCGAAACCGATAAAACCGAACAAAAGCGAACCGAACTAAAGATATTCAAAAAACCTTCATATATTATTAAATATTAACAAATCCAAACCGAACCGAACTAAACCAAACCGAACCAAACCGAAAAATAGTATGGTTTTTGTTTGTTAATAATTCTTCCAATCCGTTCTAAACCGAACCGAAACTGATAAAAACTGAACTGAAAACTGATATGCCCAGTCCTAATTTTAAACATGGTTTGTATTTGACCCTTTCTCCATTTTCTTTATATGATGTTTACAAAAATCGTCCTTAGAAGTAAAAATAATAACGAGTTTCAAATTAGAAGGATATGTCTTTTCCGAATAGTAGTAATTATTGTTATGCAAAGTACTAACAATAAATTAAAAGTGCCTTATTAATGTTGGATAATATCAAAACATGACTATAATTAATTTTTATTTAGAGTAAAATACAATACTCTCATTTGAAATTCCACATTATTTCCATTCCTTGATTGAAAAAATTCTCTAATATTTATTGTGATTTCAAAATATGTATATTTAGTTTCTAATACTAAACTAAATGTTAAGAGTTTATTGGATCTTAAGTTTTACTTAGTCATGATGTGTTTTATTGGATAAGAGTTTTCTATGTGATCTAGTTTAGTTTAATATGTCTAAATTTAGAGCCCGTTTGGAGAACTCTGTTTTCGGCTCATCAGGCTTATCAGCCAACTTTTTCACCAAACACGTAACTTTTACTTTCGCGCGCTGAATTGTGTAATAAGCCGAAAAAGTAAGGTTGGAGTTACTTTTCTGGCTGTATTGGCTGAAGTTACTGTAGAGGACCATTTTAGCTATTTTTACATATAATTTTTTCTTTAATTTATTAATAAAATATATTTTTAAAATATTTTTTTCTTAAATCAGCAGAATCAGCCAAAACAGCCACTCCAGCCAGAATATCATAAATTTCAGTAGAATCAGCCAAAACAGCCGATTTTGGTGCTACCAAACGGGCTCTTAAAGAGTTGGTTTGGTGACTCATGTATACAACTTATAAGCCTTAGTTTATCACCCATTTTTTCACCAAACATATAATTTTTTGTTTCATGCGTTGAATTCTATAATAACGAAAATATGTGAAGTCAAAATTAATTTTATGCATGAATTTACTAAAGTTACTGTAAATGATCATTTTAGCTATTTTCATACGGAATATAATTTATCCTTTATTTCACCAATAAAATATTTTAAATTTAATTTTTCTATAATTTAGTTGTTCAGTCAATTGAGCTTATTCAAAATTAGAGAGGCTGGTATTCATCAACTTGTGAATATTCAGTTTTTTCACATTGTTCTCTTACGTTTAAACTTAAAACGTTAGATTTCGTCATTATACTCCGTATTATTTTATTATGGTAAAACGTTGGATATTGTGCGGTCTAAGCATCTTCCCTTTACCAATTACATTATTACAATACATATTGTACTGTTTCCGATCACTTTCTTGATCTTAGCTTTTCACTAGCGGAACAGAATATTGTCACCAGCAACACGCCAAAACTAAATCGACTTGGTAACTGCAATTAGTGAGATCTAATTTCCCGTTTTGGTGCTATACTGCTATTAGCTTTCACATATGCATGACAAGAGATTGAAACACACCACTAAGACGTACATTTATGTTCTCAATTGTTTTGATCTTTTTATCCCATTCCCAACATAATTATGAGTTTTATCTCTTAGATAATACTTCTCCTTGATAATACTCCATACATACCAATTTAAATCCCGTATAGTCTGGTTTAAATCTATTCTAGAAAATGTCAATATATACTTATATAGGTATGTAATATAATCACATCAATTCCATAATTTGTTCACATCTTTGGTTACTTTTTATATTGTACAATATAGATTGCTTTTCGCTCATATATGGTTCTTCTATTGATATTTCCTATTGTTAAAATTGCTGGATGTGAAAAGATCTCAAAAATATTAATCAATTAACATATGTAAAAGATAAACACCGACATAAAACTTTAGCCTCAAAAGTGGAATTAATTTATCTGTTTTTAACCTAAGAGTTTTATCAATTAATTTTTTAATCATGCATGTTACTTTTGATTTGACGCACTATATTATACAAATATAATAATAATAAGATTGAAATTGCATTTTTAGATAAATTGGCCGATATTACTACAAAGAATCATTTTAACTATTTAATCACATACTTATTTCTTTATTTGGCTTATACTCCCTCCGTCCTGTAATTAAGTTCACAGTTTGACTTCACACAGATTAAAAAAATAAAATTGACTTTACTGTGGAGTGCACTGTTTTGCACTGTTTAAACACTGTTTGACACTGTCTGGGCACTGTTTGACACTTTTTTGATGTAGATTATTTGCCAAATAAGGAAAGTTTTGAAGTGTGAAGTTAATTTTGGGACTGCCGAAAAGGAAAGTGAGAAGTTAATTTTGGGATAGAGGGAGTAAGATTATTTGAAATATAATTTGTTAATAACAAAGCAAATTCGTTAATTAAATTGTTTCAATCACAATTTCACCAATTTGATCATATTCAAATAATCAATTCAATTCACTGTTATACAAATATCCACTTAATTCAGTCGTCCTAGGAAAAGAATCCTAATATTATTATTTATTGGTTCGTTGCATTGGAACATTTAATACTCAAAGAATATTACCTCGTATATATCCGAAAATTAAATATTGTGCTACCTCAAATTGGCAATAATAAGTAATTAATTTTCGAACAGAATGGGGATATACAGAAGATGGAACTTAAAACAGGAAAATAAAAAGAATCTTGAGAGTTAATGAGTGTCAGCAAGGCACAGATCACAAGGATTCGTCATCAGGTCGTACACGGTCAATTTTTAAAAGCTAGTGGAATGTTACATGTCCATCAACCCTCGATAACCTAATAAAAAGGTAAAAAAAGAAAGGAGGAAAAGAAAATTACAGCGATCGAGATGGCCTGGCCCGCTGACATACTAGCTAGGGAGATGATACAGGAGGGTGAGGGTGGGGGTGGGCTAAGTTAATTAAGATTATGGGTAAAACGAAAATTAACTAATTACTAAAATCTTAGTTAACTTGGCCTCTAAATATAAGCTGGTGGCTGGCGCAATTAAGCTAATTAAGCTGCAGCTTCCTCTTGGATTCGGGCAAGCAGTTCGTGAACAGCGTCAGCTATTTCGTCTACCGTCGTTAGCTGGCAACCATCCTCAAGCTGCATATATTTTTAGTATACAAAAAATTACTCAGGCCACCACTGTGAAAAAGAAAACTACATTTACAGCTTCAATCAAATCATTGTTATCAACTTATCATGTTTGAATTGCTTTATTTTTCGTTTTTATAAACTGTTTACGAAATAGTTACAAATATTTACTATGAAAGGCATGAATTAATGTATGACCACCTTTTAACACAATGTGACCAATTGACCATATTTCACCAATGAAGTGACATAATCTCGTGATGCATTGTGATGATATTTAACAAATGAAGTAACCACGTTTAACTGACGAAAGAAGTATCAGTGGGTATGATTTCAATTTTCAATATTAGTTAAAAAAAAGCTTATTACTCCGTATTTACTACAACTCTTATATTTTTTCTCTGTGAAGTGTACTTCATAAAAATGATGTAAATCCAACAGCATAGAGAATAGAGTTAGACTACTAATAAACTCTTGATTTAGTTGATATAAAAGTTAAATAAAGATAGAAAAGTTAAATCTTCTTTATACAAAGAACCAAAAAGAATCTTGTTTTGAAGAAATTATCATGTGTAGTGTCTCTGCAATTAGGTAGACTTAGAGGTAGTACTCAAGTTGTTATTTGTTTAACCTCTTAAGATTTAATTTATTCGATACACAAAGCTTTACGACTTTAAAAAAAGTGTAAACAAAAACGTGTGAGGTGACTATTACTATAAAATTGTCCCTCAATCCTAAAAAAGAACATTATTTCAAAAGGTTTTGTCGGGTAAAAGATGAGATCTATATATCGGAAAGAGGCTGATTTTTCGTGTAACTTATACTAGTATAAGAAAAGTTAAATATAAAGTTGGATACGGCAACATTTTGTCTAAACCAAAACGAAAAGTTCAAGTATAGGATTGAATTGTTATTCAAAATGGATAACATATTCAAAATGTTTTGTCTAAAAGTAAATATATACTCCCTCCGTCCCGTTGGAATGTTCCCGGTTTGACCTACACACAGATTAAGGAAATAAACTTACTAGGGGGTAAATTTTATTGTTTGGACACTGTTTTGCACTGTTTGACACTGTTTTGATGTAGGACTATTTTCCATTTAGGGAAATGAGAACTTTCCATTGGGAGATCCAAAAAACGAAAGTGGGAACATTCCAACGGGACGGAGGTAGTATATAACAATCTTTTAACTAGAAAATTGCTATTCATTTAGAGCCTATTCAGTACCACTTCAACTGGCTTAATCATTTGATTATCCTGAAATTTATGAATAACTAGCCGAATTAGCTGATTAAATGATTCTGCTGAATTATAAAAAAGTTATATTCAAGATATATTTTAGTAAAAAAATTAGAAAAAACTTCACCTACTCCAGGTAGAAATAACTTCTATTTCACTTATTTGAATTATTATACAAGTTTTGCAAGTGAAATCAAAAGTTACATGTTTCGTGAAAAAATGACTTATAAGGCTGATAAGTCAAAAAAATAGGAACAACAAAGGCTGTTAATGTAAACCATATATTCTCCTTGTCCCTGAATTATCTTTTAACTTTCATCTTTTGCTCGTCCCAAAATAATTTTCACTTTTATTTTTAAGTATAATTCTTATAAGTTCCTACATACGTGCAATTTAAGGACGAAAAGTAGTGTTACGCATAAATTAATTTTATTTGTTAAAATTGTGTGAATAAAATGTGATAATGTTTTGTGGGGTGGCTAGTGTGACAATAACGGGGAAATATGTCAGATAGGGTAATTAGACGTATGTGGAAAATGAATAAAATAATGGTAATAGGCAGCAAAAAAGCGTTTTGAGGGCCAAACCTTAAGACTGAGGGAGTAGAGGACCATCTGGTCAACAGTGGTGACATTGAGGTGAAGAACAGAGAGCCGTATACACTGCAGGCGGGCGACAAGCTTAAGGAGCTGTTTGGATCTATTCTTCGACATTATCTTCACGCTCGCGTGGCTCTCAACCATCGTCACCTCGATGTCCGCCAGCGCCGACCGGGTCTCCGCCGGCTCCACCTCCCCCGCCGCCGCCGCGGAGCCACCCTTCCTGCCGTGGCTGTTGGAGTACTGCGGGAAAGCGAAGAAATCCGCGAAAAGTGGGGCCCCCGCTTCCCTGTTGGGTCGGTTTCGTGCCTCTAGGGTTTGAAGATGGTGCTCCAGCTCCTTCACATAATTTATGGCGCCTCCAATAATTGAAGCTTGATCACCCTGCCATTTCCAATTCTTGATTATTCAATATTTTGAAATTTTGGATCAGAATTTAAAAACGAGAAATGTACGTTTGTGGTTGAATAATAAATAAATATTGATCATATAAATTTTCCGAAAACCGAAATGAAAATTCGTTTTGGACATTCCTGAATCGTAAATAAGAAGAATCCCAGAAAAGAGTATATAATTCAATTTAATAGAACAAAAGAAAACATACCCAACATACTTATACTGGCAATAATTCTATCAGTAAATTATTGACTATAATTATGCTCATTTTTTTAAATTATGATCCTAATATTATATTCATCATACTGACATACTTCAATTTCATTTTTTCTTTATATTTTTTCGAGATGACCTCCAATCAGAAACTTAATAATTGTTTTAAAATAATCACACATAGAGAATCAACATAAAAAACTAACGTTGGATATTTGTACACTTTTTTTTTGAAAGATATTTGTACACTTGTTAATCCTTCAAAATTAAAACTAATGTCCTAAAAGAACCAATTTTCTTTTTATTTTGATTTATTTGACCATTTCAAAAAGAAAAGAATCTAAAAGTCATGAGCGAATTTACTTGACATGAAAATGGCTATATGGACAAAAGATTTTGTCACCATCAAGGTCACATTCATGCAACATGTAGAAATAGACAGACTATTAAAATTGAAAGGGATTCTCGAATTCGATTTTAACATAATGAATTAAATGCAAAAAGGCAAAAAATACTAGTGTAAATCATTAATTTCAATTAATTAAGAATTAATTAACTAACCCTTTGGACGTAGGAAGGTGGCATGATAGATCGAATAACAGAGAGGTACTCATTCATCTGCTTGCGGCGGTTGCGCTCCACCGCAATGTGAGTCATTCTCTGGGTCTCCAATTCTTCCTTGTTCTTGCATGACCGTGTCCGGCGGCGCTTCCGCCTGCCGCCGGAGACGGTTGTGTACGGCGGCGGCTGTTCAGTCACCCCTTCCGGTGAAGAATTTAGCTCCCAATTCCCGTCTTGCCGCCGCCCATCACTTTGGCTGTCCATATTACTAGTAGAAATAGTAAGATGAATATTATCAGCCTCTACAAGCATCCCGAGAAAGGCGGTGTCAACTTCTTCTTCTTGATGGGAGGTAAAACCATAGCAGCCTCGGTAAAACTCTCTGTTACAGCCATAAATCAACGATTCTTGAGGGTAGATTACAGTTTGTAATGCCATTTTTTACCCCCCACAGCTCTATATATTCTCTTACTAAACCACAGCAATTTCCAGATTTCTTAAAGAACAAGCATTGGGTTTTGCAAAGTCCAAGTAATTAAGTCAGAAAAGAAAGGAAGGAGAAGAAGTTGGTCTGGAAAGCTGAAGCTAGCTGAAATAAGCAGCCATGGCCGATATGATTAAAACTAAACATAGAAGGGTTGAGAGAAGCGGTTGATTCAGGTTCTTATAGAGGCTGGGATAAACAAAGCAATATTATTATTTTTGGACTGACACTACAATCTGTATGACCGCATCTGTTTGTTGTTACAGTCTTACAGACTACGAGTATATTATTATTTAACCATTTGCAAACTATTCTTTAATTTTCTATTAATTTTTTAGATGAAGTTTTTTTCTTTGAGGAGTAAACGACATAATTATCATTGTTAATCAAGCAAATGAATAGTTAACCAGAAAAACACGTGGAGGAAATCGTCATCTTCATTATAAGCAGTGGTTTAATTTAATCATGGGAAATTACAGAATATGTGTATTCTCGTTGATTTGTAAACATAGTTACCAATAATGTTGTTAAACTCAAGATCCTGGCACTGATGGAAAGCTGTCTAGGAGATCGTTAGAAGTAAGCCTCGAAACCATTTGAAAAATATCAAATCTTAATAATGGTCCGATTTTTATAAATTATTTTTATATAGAATCATATGAAATCGTATCATTCCTTAATGGTTCGGTTCTTATCATTTTGTGGTTCCTAGCTTAGTGTTTAAAAAAAATCTTACAAATCCTCGGAAGGTAAGGGTGGGTTTTCTTCCAAACTTAAAATTTTTGGGTTGACTATGTCTTAGAGTTTTGGGAATGAGACCTCGATCTCGGTGTAAATCATGATTAAATTAAAATTGAGAAATTGTGCATCCTTGATGAATTTATGCTTTGATTTGATAATGAATTTGAACTGCATTTAACAGTTGATTATCCCAAATGGCTGCAGCTATTCATTTTCAAAGATGCTAAAGGACTCTTCGTGATGCGGTTGCAATTATGAGCACTCTGATGTGGAAATTGAGAAAGAAGACATTGCTAAGGCAAAAGGGTTGAAGAAATGAAAGTTGCTTGTCCTCTGTTTATTTGGTTTCCGGCCACTAATAGGAGTTTTAGTTTCTATTAGAAGTCATCTACAATATTTTGATATTTATTTCAATCTAGGCAGTGTTACTTTTTAGTTTATTATACATTTTTTGAGATGTATTCAAGATATTGTTTCTAGGATATGATAAAGTGGATATTTCTTCATTACATATTATGAATATTTTAATACTTGTAATATTATATGAAGTATTATATGAAATTTCATATTACACGCATGTTGTTTTATATCTATACATGTAGTTAAAAATTATACGGAGTAAAAAAATATTCCGTATGATACAAAATGTTTAATATAGATCTAGAGAAGTGTTGTCAATTTTAAACAATATGTTGCATAAAGTATTTATTAAAGTGTTACGAAATATTATAAGTGTTGCAAAATAGTATTGCAAATATGTTACATATATATTAAAAGGTGTTGCGGGCCTAAAGTCATATATTAAGTGTTGCATTTTATTTGAAAAGTGTTGCGTAAAATTCTAATTAAACTATTGCAAAAAAAAGGTGTTGCATTTGAGATATTTATGCAACCCTTTCATCTAGTGTTACATAATAAGCAAAAACGGGTTGCATACTACTTTATGTATCGAGACCTGAAGAAATGCCCATAAAAGTGTTGCATTAACCTTTTGTAACATTTTAATGATCTAATGTAACATTTTTAGAACGTTGCCAAAGGCTTGTTTTGTTGTAATGACTAGATGGAATGACTTCTACACGGGATCTGATTATATCAGTTCTATATCTATGGAGGATTGTCCGAGATATTTGAGTGACTTGAATTAATTCCTCAATTGATAGCAATGCATTGTAGGAAGATTTGTCATTAATTATCTTTTTCTCGCTCAGTTGAGCTTTCTGCTTTCTCAGTCTTAGAATATGTCTCTTGAGTAGGCTCAATTAGATTTTACTCAGCCTGATTCAAAACTCTAAAACAACTTTCACTAATTTAAATAAGTTTTGTATTAGCATATTTATTTCGAAAATACATATGCAAACTGAAATTGTACTCACAATATATATAGAATAATTATCGCGTTTAACATTTTTTTAAGACCACCACTATATATACTTAACCTTATGTGAACCGTAACTTTCGCATTTGTATCCATCTTTAACACTTGTGAGGATAATATACACCCACCAAGTCGACAGCAAGATAATTAGCAACCACGGACTAAGTACCCCTTTTCTAACACCACCCGTATGTATGACCCTACTTCCCTGCAAAGTGCAATTCAAGGGAAAGGTATACATTCTCAATGGTGTATTCTAGATGGGATAAACATCCGATCGTCAATTGGTGTTTGTTAAATTTCGCATGTTATGATTTTAAGGAATTAGACTCCACAGTTGTCAACTCTTATTTCTTTAATGACATGCTCTAAATATGAAATTTTGAATCTAAAATAAATGAAAAATCTTTGGTCATATTTAGGATGTTTTCTTTGGATTGTTTTCAGTCTCAGACCAGACCAGACCAGACTTAAATAGACCAGACCAGACTTCCATAGTTATAAAATATACAGAGATCAGACATTTACCAGATCAGACCAAACCAGACTTAAACAGACCAGTCTAGCAAATTTCAGTCTAAAAGAAAATATCCTTAGATATGAACTCAATTTCGTTCTAGTGAAATCTAAAATTACGTATCCAAATGGAACATATAAAGTTGTGAATTTAGAACGGGTGAAGAACCGATTATGAAACGTGACTTTATTGAAATTACAATTGCTTAATTTTAATCTTTAATCAACATTCACTCTCTATATATATTCAATTCTGTTTTGGTTGGACGTAGCTCTGGTAAAAAGCTAAGAGATGACATAAGGGAAATGTCCATCTCCCTCCTACAATTTGAGCTAAAGACATCGATTGTAACCGCATTGTTTCTTCACTAATCTGTTATCAAAACTTAATTTACATCCCCAACTCGAGATTTGGAGTGTCATTCTTTTTTTTTTGCTAGTCTCTTTTGCGTACACACGGGATGATAAGTAAGCAATGTTATGAGGACACTATAACATTGGATTATAACCCAATTGGATTGACCAATTCAACTCTCCCATTATATATTTATAATGCCCGCCCAGTTAGGAAGTACTCCCTCAATTATTAAATAAGTGCAACACCTTACTTTTCACGTTTGTCGATTTACAATTTTGATCATTAGTATATTTAATATTCTATTAGTAATAAACTTTAAACATTTTAATTTTCAAAATTTACAATGAGAAATTTAAAAGAAAATTAACAGTAATTTGTTATTACACTAATAAATAAAACATAGGTAATGTACGTAGTATAACAAAAGCTATACTGGACGAAAACCCAACTTTTCCTCATCACCAAACAAAAGAATGGACCCCTAATTTTTACCATTCACCAAGAGGTGAAACCAATTTGGGACCCACTGAAACAAACTCTTCAACAAATTTGCCCATCCAATTTATTGTAAAATAACGATTCATTGGTCCACTGTTTGGGTCCAATTTGCTAGAGGGCAGGCTGGTTAAAGGAATCCATGTTGCCATGTACGTACGTACGTACATCTTAGTTTTGAATTTTTAAATCTATTATCAATTCAGTAATAAAATCTGCTTAAATCATGTACTTGTATTCCATATAAAAAATGTAAATATCTACAAAAAGAAGCACGAAACTCAATTTGACTGGTAACAGTATGCATGGTCCAGCATGGAACATGGGATGATATGATTTGACAAAAGATAAAAAGTAATACTCCGTAGTTTTTACACTTCAAAGTTTACGTGAGATTCAGCCAAAGTTACACTTAAATGACATCCATGCATATGGATGATATATCAATGTAAAGCTAAACAATTCAGAGGAAAACATACTCACACTATTATACATTTAAAAGTATTTTTTCAACTAGTTGTGCCAAACATACCCTATAATACGGAGTACGGAGTATACTTATTATGCTTTAGCTTTTCTTATCTTTTTTTCTTTTTAATTTCTCGCTCTAGATATATACCCTCTCCATCTCGATCAAAAAATATTATCCAGTTTGACTTGACACGCTTATTAACAAAGTGAGAATAAAGTGGAAATGTATGGTTGTTATTGAGCAAAAAATTAATAAATGAATGTTAAGCACACAAAACTTTCCAAAAAGAGAAACGGGAAGAATTTTTGGTACATCTCAAAATGATAAGTACTCCCTCCGTCCCATAAAATAGTTCCCTCATTGAATTGAATAGGAGTTTAAGAAAGTGAGAATAAAATGGAAATGTATGGTTGTGGTCGAATAAGAAAAATGTAAATGAATGTGACCCACATAAAACTTTCCAAAAAGAGAAATGGAAACTATTTTTTGGGACAGTCGAAAAAGTAAACCGGAAACTATTTTATGGGACGGAGGGAGTAATACATAATTCGAGGTGATAGGGCGAATTCAGTTTATTAATTTATGCCAACGAGTTATGCACATCTTTGCTTAAGATAATCAG